GCTACCAACAGTACGAACAGTGTAAACTTTTGGAGAGATGCAGGACACAATCCGGCAAGGCTCAAAAAAACGACGAGCCTTTCGCACAAGACCGAAACGGCGAACCAGCCAAACTTCGCCAACAGCTGGAAGACCACCAGAAGTTGGTGCGATAGGAGAAGGAGAGGACGGAGTCAACGCTGGTAGCGGGCGAAAGACCGGATCCAAACCGGGATAAGGCCAGGCAAGGTAGGAGAAAATCAGAGCGTCAGGATTCAGGCCTCCGCGGCGGACCGGAGCCGTGTTGTGGAGCCGAGTAGCACGAGCAGTTAGCGAATCAGAAGTATGAGAACGAACCCGTTCGTTCAAGACCCGATGAACGCGCTCGACCTTTCCATTAGTCCAGGAACTGTGAACGGGAGAACGGCACACAGTGGCAGAAGCCCAGTGGATGGCCGCGAGGAACTCGGCTGCCAAAAACTGGCTCCCGCCATCGTGATACACCGTGCGAGGAAGGGTGTTGAAGCGCTCTAACACCTCCTTGAAGAGTGCAGCAGTAACCTGGGCTGTAAGGGTAGATTTCGAAACCTTCGTGAGCAGATAGCCCGAAAAATTATCTACAAGGGTCGTAACGTAGAGCTCCTGGCTCTTGTAGGGACCCGCAATATCCATGTGGATACTCTCCCATGGCTCCGAAGCGCGAGGAGTGACGGGGCGGCGGGCCAGCCCAGACTTAACAGCCGCCGAGACTGTGACGCGACCGAGCGCGCAAGACGGGCAGTCACGAACAAAAGAGCGACATCGCTCACGTAAATCAGGGAAACTGACCAATTCGCGCAGACGACCGTAGAGACTTTGCGCCCCCTTATGGTCGTGCAGAAGCCGGGCCAAAGCGAGGAACTCGTCCGGTGAAGAGAGACAAATACGACCGGAAGAGGCACGGCTGGGCGGTGAGGACAGTGCGGGCCCCTGTATAGCCGGCAAAGCGACACCAGATGAAGAACAAGCGCGAGGCAAGCAGTACAGTGGAATCCGACTGAGAGGATCAGAGAGGTTATGCTCACTCGGGAGTCCCGAGTCGGGACGAACTCGATGGACAGACTGATACGCATCTCGTCTAACATGTCACGGAGAGTCCGCAGCCGATTCTCGACCAAGGTGGAGTGGAGTCCAGAAACCGAACGCCAATGTTGTTGAACAACAGTTGTTCCAGATGCCTGGTTACCCAAGATACAGCACTTGTATTGTCGCAACGAATAGTTAAGGGCAAGTCAGCGCGAATAGAAAGGGCCCGCCGATACCTATCGACGAGCTGAAGACCCTTAATCAGGGCATCGAGTTCCGCAAGATTGATGTGTCGCGAATCGCCGAGGCGTCGTAAATGAGTCGCATCCTCCACGGTAACGGGGACGACCAAGAGCACCGTTCCATAGGCGTAGCGACTACTGTCAGCATATAAAACCCATGGATCGGAAGCGTTGTACTGCCAGACACCGATGGCTCGGCCATCATGGCCGAGTCACCACGAGAGTCGGTGTCAGCCTGGAGGAGATCGCAATCCCGGCGGGCATGATCATCGAGAGGTTCATCCCAAGTGGCCGAGTGTCCGTCATGGGCAACACACGCCAAACGTTTGAGGGCAGAAAAAGCGGGTCTAGCCCAACTAACAGTGGGATAGTGAGCAACAAAACGACCGGCCCAACGGTGTACACCTTGGCGCGTGTAAGATTCCAATCGAGGCACAGAGCCACGACGACGCCAGTGGCCGGTGGCCGCACACTCAAGGCCCAAGACGCGGGAACGCGTCAAATGCTCCGCAGGCTTGGTGTCAAACCCATCAGACAGCGGGGCACGCTTCACAGGCTCCACATGGGAAACGGGAAGGATGAGGTCATCCAGGTACTTGTCCAAGCATCCATCTAACCCGGCATTGGACAGAATGCGACTGAGCACCACAGAGAGGCACTTCGGAGCAATGGAGAGCCCGAAGGGGCGCCGGAAGTACTTGCTGGAGTCCCCACCGAGCATCCTTGTAAGGTACTCGGCTTGAGATGGAATCCGACCGATACACTTTCCGATTGTGGAGGCCCTAACTTCCCACCTTGTGTCTTGGCCCTATCCGAGGACAGGGTTATGCATCTCAGTGAAATCTGACTCGTGAAATTTCATGTCGAAATATTTCACGAAATTTCATGAAATTTCGCGAAATGTGAAATTAATATTTTTTTGCGCGCGCTATCGCGCGCGCGATCTCTGGCGTGGCTAGTTCGACGAGCGCATTCCTGAGGTATATAATGCAATCTCAGGCGACTGCAGTCACTATTCATGGAACGTGTGTCTGATAGGCTGCTCGCGCTACCATCATCGCGATTCGGACACTCAGCAAATGAAACCACACTTGAAACGGCTTCGCAAGTTCGCAAGAGCTTCAATTACATCAGATACGGAAGATACCTCCGTCTTTCCGCTTGAGCATACGTCACTGCATATACTTTTGCAAGATCCCGTTTTAGCGCAACTTGCCCCACTTCCTAATGATGGGTCTTCGATTGAGCCACTTTCTGCTACGGAGCAGGTCTCCGATTGATCAACAACCACCTAACTCATGACGCTCTCAATACTACCATTTTTCGGTGCGGGATCGACTTCACTAATCACACTCATGTCATCGTCATCGGTCTGGTCAACTCGGCTTGCTCCTGCGCGGCCCCTCGAAATAAATTTTCCCATCGATCTAATTGCAGAAACATTTATCCATGTAT